CTCTGGAATGGTCCTCCCCTGGAACGGATGTTATGGGGGGTTGCGTTGATACCTGTCGCCTCTTTCTTTTCCCCAATCTTTGTCCGTCTCGGGCGCCACTTCCTTGATCTCAAACTGGTACTACCCAAAAAAACCTTAGGAAAAAATTTTTTAAACAATTTTTCGTGAGTTTCTGCTTGAAAAGCTCTTCGCACCTCTACTTCTATAACGGCTTTCAGTGGAGTATACGAAGGTGCCATAGTAGGACGGGGCTCTGCAGATAAACAGTACAGTACCTCCCAGAGAGTTTTGGCTATAGGCTACGCGGATTGCAGTAGCGTGTCAATTTCTCTGCTTAAAGGGTACGGGAATGGGGCTGTAAGGTAGTGGTACCCGAATGCGGTCTCTGCAGTCTGCGCGCGCTATCCTCAAGGTGCAGCACTTGCGTCGTTCGTCTCGCAGCGGAACACGCATTCAGCGATAGAGAACAACCAGAAGTAAGGAGCGAACAAACACAGCTGTGGTCCCACCATTTTCCCCACACGCTGTGAGGACCAGGCTCCACGGATGTGAGTATACAGTTTGTCTTTGACGACTTTGCCTTACTAGCTGAATCCTACCTTTGACATACTCCTGGTGTGAGATCTCAAACACATTCGTTTGCAGAAGTTGAGTGATGAGGTTCGCAGCTTTCCCGTGACTATGTATAACGCATTTGGATCCTGAAATTGAACTCATTCACTTTCAAATATTAGCAGTACTTATCGGTTTTCAAAGAAATGAGGCTGAACGGAGTGAGGAGGAGTTGAAGGGGCACTATTTACCCTTTACTGCCCCAGTCATCCGAAATCAGGCCAGTTCCTGACCGACTTTTTTCTCCGTGGGCAGAATTTGCTGAAAACTTGGCTCCAGGGGTAGTTCGACCCGCTGAACACGAATATCGCATCCGCTTAACCCGAAACCTCCTGGCGCCCGCGCCACGGGCGCCGGCGAAATAGTTGAAATCGCCAAATTCGTTGAAAACTTGCTCCCAAGAGTGGTTTGACCCCCTGATCACGAATATCACATCCGCTCGGCGCAAAACCTCCTGCCGCCCGCGCTACAGGTGCTGGCGCCAAAATACCTCAGATCACCGGCGCCTGTGGCGCAGGCGCCAGGAGGTTTCGGGCTATGTGAATGTCATATTCGTATTCAGGAGGTCAAAATACCCTAGGAGACAACATTTGAGCCAAATCTGTCCACGGAGGAAAAAGCCGGTCAGAAACTGGCTCAAATCGGGATTGTTGGGGCAGTGAAGGGTAAAAAGTGCCGTTGAAGGAAATAGTGTGTAAAGGGAGCCTGGGGTAGAACCTCCAGGACGCCTCTACTCTTTGGAACGCCCACGTTGCAACAAATAGTAGCAATTTATCCGGCCGGGACGCCGTATCGCAGATGCAGTCGTCATCCGGACAGCTGATAAGCCGGCCAAAGGGTCGCGACGCGGCTGCGGCGCGCACGACCGCGGCCATCAGCTGTTCCCATCCCAATTTAGCAATTTTCTCCCTAATTTCCACTGTATATTCTTTTTTTTCCAGCGATTTTTTAGGTATTTGTTTAATTGTTTGTTCAATCGTTTAATTGTTCGCAAAAGTTAGAAAAATCTCAATCATAATTTACCTTGTGAAGACAAGGAACAGCTAACCTTGAAAAAAGCAGCCAAAAACAGTGAAAAGTAGGGAGAAATGACTAAATTAGGCCGGAAAAAGCAAATAGTTCCTACGCACGCGGTCGCTGCTGCAGCCGCGTCTGCGGCCCGTTGACGACCGCCCTAATCAACTGCCCGGATGACGAGTGTATCTCAGCAGGCATGGAGTTGGCGAGACAATGATGGTTCGTCTGGGGATAACAGGCGAAACGGACCATCTGTGTTTTGGAGTGTTTTCTTCTTCCAATATTCTTTTCTGATTGTTTCTAATGTTCCGCGCCTTCCATCGCAAACACTACTCTCGTTGAGCTGAGCGGTAGAAGCGACAAGGTTCCCCTTGAACTGGAGATTGAACCCAATGCAACCTTGAATGGGTGACTCTTTACCTGGCTGATGATGCTCACCTGTCTGCTTCATTATTAATGAGAATAAGGATGAGCATGATGAGACGTCAATTTTCGAATTAACCGGTCGTTGAACTTGTTGTTTACTTCGGAGGTCATAGACAAATATATCCAATCTGAAAATAACGCACTGTTCGTCAACGAAACAAAAACAACAGCCAAACAGGGAACGCAGTCCACGTTGTTTGTCCTCTATTGACAGCAAACCGAGGTACTCAGTTTTCATTTGCAATTTTTTTATTATTCGTACTGGTAATGCTTATTAAAAAAACTTGACTATTAAAACTATTAAAAAGATGATGCAGTAGTAAGTGCCACAGCTATTGCTTTCAAAGGAGCAAATTCTGCATCAAATCATTTCCAGTGCCTTCCCTCCAGCATTGGTACAGTCTCATTACCTTTTGACGCCAGGGGGTAAGAAAGGGGCTGAGCCCAGGGTACGAGATAAAGTGCTCTCAAAAGCCGTTGCGATTTCTAATGGCAGTCGAGTGCGTGGCGCATTCCAGAAGGAGACTAGTCAATAAAACGCTTTTTCTAAACATGACCTTTACCAAAGTCTATTTCGAAACCGAGACTATTCGTAGAGATCCTCTCGAAATGTCTCATTATGTCATCAGGAACCTCGCTAGAGGACCACTCATAATCCCTGTAAACGATAGGGTGTGTGAAGGGGCGTGAATTGGAGCGTAGCCAAGGCAGTCTTTCCCACCAACTTTGCAGGCTCAGCATGGTAAATATTATTGTTCCTGGTGTTTGAAAATGACACTGTCTTAAGGCTATTGGAGCCACTGTAACTGTCACAAATCAACACATTCCATTATCAAGGATTTTTGTAGATGGGTGGGAGCAATGGGCTATAATAGGGCTTTAAAGACAGCCCCCGCGCTCAAGTAGTACATGGTCGTCCTTCCTTGTGCAGGTAGTTCAGCCCCCAAGCTAGATACTATCCCACTCTCGCGACTCCACAGTGAGCGAGGAGCGAGCTACAGCCGCTCAAAGTTCTAGTTCTAACGCCCGCCCAGTTGGACCGCCCACTTGCTAGCTGCCCTCTGACGGAGGCCGCTCAGTTGTTCTTTGTTGGGACGGCGGGCATTAATCGGAACTGCATGTATTTTTGCTGACCGCGCTCGTGCCCATAAATAATTCTGCTCTCCTTCATCACATTTTATTCATTGGGAGCACATACAGTCAACTGCAACCCATCTCGTAAGGTAAAACGCGTAAAAATCACGAATGATGCAATTTCTGTGGTGCAAAAGCTCGACATGCACCAAAAGCCGCACACTTCACGTAACCCCAAATTCGGACGCCAGGTTTTTGAATTTTTTTTTTAAGTGTTTTTCGTTCGTGTCTTTGTTGTTTTTCATATTCTTTTCTTTGAATTGGATGTTGTCCACTACTGGGAAATGCCATAAAGCGATTTGTGAGCCAGGGGTTGCCCACGGACCGCAGGGCGGTGTAACTGTAAGGGAGCAATTTTGTTTGTGGTGTTCTTGAGGGCTCTTGTTGCTTTTTTCCTTCATTGAGGAATTACTTATCAGCTACTGTTTCATAATTGATCAGCAATTATCCTTGACACTTTTATCGCGGGAGCTGTCTTTAAACAAGATTGTAAATGCTAGCGACATGTCAGCATGTCGCAATACTATCAGTGATTGCGGTGAGGTCAATGAGTCTGCTGCCATCTGGTCAATTAGGACATTATAACAATAGTTCTGGTTAATTAAGACATCAGTACGACATTACTTAGCTAAAGAGCATAAATTGGGTAGAGGTACCAACTCTACTTTTTAAGAGATGAATGATAGAGTTTTAGCCGTTGATCCATCCCTTTCTGATATGCGCGACACATTGTGGACTGGCAGGACCAACTGCCGATGTTGAAGTTTTTATCCTGTCTCACAGGACGGATGGAAGGCCTGGATAGTTTAGACTAAGTTTGACTGTTGGACCACATGCATGCGCTAAGTTGTGCCTCTTAGCACTGCGTTACCTCTACCTCGATATTTCTATTTAGCAATGTACGACGGGAAACTGCAAACAGAAATGAGACAGTAGGGGCGGATATAGGTTACTTATATGTTTAGTGCAGAAAGCCATTCCAAGCACTGCTCGTAGGTAATACCCCAACCTGGATGGTATTTTGGGAGCCTTTCAATCGGTCCTAATATACAGAGCTTAATGTTAATGAGGTAGAACGTCCTGCTGCAGAACTATCAGCGATTACGAGGCGGTCAATAACTCGACTAAGGGACCAATTAATACATCATTAACATAGTTTTTTTTGCTTAGGATGGCAGAACATAAAGTGGTAGCACCAATGTAATTCAGAGGAATAACCGACAAAGCTTTCATCGTTAATCCATCTCATTTTGGAATGCATCACAAATATGCGGCACCCTGCACCACTGCGCTTCTTCCCATCGATACTTGTTTTAGTAGTATTTAGGGATGTGAACAGAATACGAGACTGTAGAAAGCGCACAAAGGTTACTTGCGGGCTTGAAGGCATTTGGCACGATAAATCTCCAAGACATATACGTGTACGACTAATACGCCTAATAGGACTGAATTCGGCGCCTCCGAGCAGGCGCTGCGTGGCGACTCTTCCAAGGAAAGTACCGCCCTACCAAGCTGCAACATACCGACCGGCCGCCCACTGCAGCTGCCCGCCCACAAATGTTCGACCGATCTTGATGCTCGTATCATTTCATTTGCGAAGTACAGTATGAAGCAAAGGGACTGATATGAAGCGGCTGCGGTGCTGCATGGATATATGAGTACATACATGCAGCCGTATCTACCGTAGCGGTTATTGGCACGATGCCAACGGGGAACTCGTCCAAAGTTGCTCCTGATTCGTGTAGAACAAAGGCTTTTTGCAGGTTCCTTTTCTTCGCACGTTTTTGACTGTTTCACTTCGCTTTTTCGCCATTTTCCCCCACCATTTAGCACCCCTGTTACCATTTTAGAGAGAGCACTAAATTATAGTGGCAGCTGCCTTGCAGAACGATCCTTCAGATAGTATAACTTGTAGGTATACCACAACTGAAAAGGTTTCTGAAGAGGCCGCTAATCGATTCTTAGTCTACGTGTACATGTACAGTGTGATGAAAAATTTGAAAGAGGTATCAAGACGAGTTCCCGTAAAGAAAAGGGTTCAGTCCCGGCATCGAAAAACAAATGGACGGAAAAATAAACAATCATTATGAAATCGATACTCCCATCGGTGATGAAGCATTTACCTTGTGACTCATTGCGTGCCTGTAAAATTGTGTAGCGTAGGGTTAGGTGAAACGTTGGAGCTCTTTAGACCTAAGTCTACGATTCATATTGGGAATGAGACTTTGTGCTGGGTCTCCAACTGCAGTCATTGTCACTGAGGTCAGTCGGGGCGTGACAGCGGCGCATCAGTTTTGGCGCGACGCCAGCGCCTTTTTCGCCACTCATTGAACGTCGCGAGCCACAATGACCGATGGTAACTAGTTGGCTGTGAGCCAAAACTTAGTCGCCACTGACATGCTCCGATTGACTTCTGTGATAGTGATAGTATGCTCGTGTGCAGAAGCGAAAAATTATGGAAAACAACAAAAACAGCTACACTGAAATGCCCATAAAATTCCTGTGATAGCAGGAATTCCAATAAAATTCAAGCAAAAATCAGGAAAAATTCTGGCCAATCCTTAAACATCCTTCTAGACCTAGTGCATGAACGCCTTGGTCATGCGCTGCCCATGGCAACCCACAACCCTACGTCGATACTGCGCTTGATCCGTTAACGGGAACTTCCGCACCGTGTGACACACATGGTGTGTCATGCATTTTTCTCTCTGCCCTGCCTCATATGGTCTTTGTGGCACCTGTTTTATGTTTTAAAGTTATCACAATACGTTTTTGGAAGCGGAACACCTATATCCCATACAAAAATGAAAAAAATTAGATGACATTACTGATTATTGATTTGAAAAGTGAAGAAATGATGCAGAGATCTTTGCAGAGCGAAATCCGCAATGTGTGAAATAATTTGGTCTCACGGCTCGATCACGATTTTTTTTCGCATTCCCATTCCCTAAGTCGTAACCTTTAGTACCAGTTATGGGGCCAGATGAAGAGTTCGAGAGCAGAGCGTACGTTTTTAGACGCTCCTTCTGTAGTGCAGACGGTGATATGAACAGTTTATCATTGGCAACACAACCCATTGCGCCACCTGTACCACGCATCCAACCCATCTCATAGAATTGAGTCATCAGCTCCACGAATATTTCCAGGGTCATCGGCTGAAATGGTTAACTTATAAAGAGATATAGTGATCGATTTGGATTCAAATCCAAGTCAATGAAGAATGTCCACGGATGGGCACCCAAAAAATACCGAAAGCGAGCTGAATGCTACCTCTTCGTCATGAGAATGCGGAAAGTTTTCCGGGAACATTTCCAAGAAGTTGACGTCATCAGTGAAAGATACCATTTGAAAATGAAACTAGCTAGAATATGGTTAGTGAATAGGTTGGTGATTAATATAAGTGATTACGTCTAGTTAGTAAGTTGTTATGAGCGTGACATCCACGAAAGGACACCTGCGTCAATAGGCTATCGATCGATAATGGAACACCCATTTAGGTTGCAGACGACATAATAGGTGGTCTGGGAATGCTGCACGAAGTTTCATTTGCTTGACTTCTGGGCTTATTCTATGGGGATGACCTCATTTCTTGGGATTATTTCATGAATATACTTGTTATGGGTTAAGTGTTAAAAAAATATGTTTTTGATATGAGAAATAGGCACTATGAGCCGGTTAACATTTTGCGACGGCGAGCTCATCTCATTTGTTTTCAAAGAGTTACAAGTGTCATTGGATACTATGAGCTTGATAGGTTAAACCTAAAAATTATGAGTATGGAGTAAATATTCCTTTGAGAGGAGCATGAAATCTCGAAATTTGAAATTATTGGGTCATGACGTTTGTCCAACATAAAACCTTGTGTGGATGTAAATGGAATGTTCTTTGAATTTTTCACTACTATTTCTTAGAATGTGCTCTCCTATACAGCATGATGAAATGCATAGATAATTTTTTGGGGTGATTCAATTTTTATTACAGGTTCGAAAATTGAGCGTCAAGCTGAAGAAATTGAGGATTGTGTTCTGACCAGCTTTTTGCACCTAGTTGAGTTACAGTGGCAGGAGAAATAGTTGGAAACTTATGAATTGCGTGACCAAGCCAAGTGTTCCTTTAAACAGCACGAGGTCGATTCAGATCTGAGAATTTCGACCCCATAAATACATGGTACATATGTAAATATGAACCGAACGCCCTCCTACGGTTCACTAAAGAGCACTGCATGCCCGAGTTACTCTTTTGCACATCACTATTAACAGGATTATTTGCAGGATTCACTTTCACTTTCATCTGCCCGTCTGATTGAGGTAAGATAGTGATCGAAGTTTCTTCGTGGGGCAGCTAACATTGTCCGCAGAGCTAGTGTGACCCTGAGCACGTTTGTTTACGGAACTAGCTTACCACCAGGCTCCTGCGCCCCGAGTGCCAGTGCCACAATACCTCAATGTGTAGGAAATCTGTATCAAGGGGGCACTTTGACCCTTTGCGAGGATATTGCATTTGCTCAGCGTGAAAACGCTTATCCTACACGCGGCACGTCTGCCCGTGTCGGAACTGGCCTGTGGCACTAGGTCAGGCATTTTCGTTTCAGCCGATGCTATCTTCGTGTTGAGGAGGTCAGACTACGCCGGCTGCACACCTATTCAAAGAAGAAAGGAATCTCGATCATAGTTTAGTCCGGAATTCACAAAGTGGAGCAGTGAATGGTAAATGGCGCCTAATTATGTGATAAAAAGCTAACAGCTAATTAACGCCCATTTCATTTGCCACCCGCCATCTAGGAACCCCAATGATGTTGAGGACATACAGCAGACTTTTTTTGAGAATTTCAAATTTGGCTGATTGTGATACTCCTTTTGTTTTTCACATTTGATCAGGTACATCTATATTACTGTGATTCTTGCAGCCTCGCCCGAGCGGTCCCAGCCGACGTCGCCCTGTCGGTGGTTCCCTCAGGTTCAGGGGAATGAGGCCCATAATTATTACTGTTTTCGGCGAGAAGAAATTTGACCACGCGTAGCTCGCCAGGCTCTGACGTGCCGTTCACCTCCCCCCGCTACGATGAGGGTGCGGATAGGATTTGTGGGGAGGGGGGATAGAAGCCTACATACCCTGGAGGTAGAGTGGACATGGCTGCGTACTTCATCTGAACACAGCAGCGGCTGTGCTTCTTCAGAGATGCTTTCATTTTGGGATTGCACCAATTTCTTTGTCCAGTAACAGACAAAAATGTGGTTGTTTTGAATGGAAATATCCCACTAAATGCATCTCGCTCTTTATTCAACGAAGCGTTCAGCCGGCCCTCTTCACATTGAGATATGGATTATACAAAGGGAGCCAAAAAAGACATTTTTTTTTGACATCGAGGCGCTATAAGTTACACTTTACTAACTTGTGATCGGACATTTCTACCAGCATATTAGAAAGCATATTGAATACTATCATGATGCTCCACCACAGCCTTCTGGAGGAGCGCCTTCGAGAGATTCTGTCACGCGTCCTTGGGTGGGTACCTGAGTTCAGCGAAATCGTTGATTTCTCCGCCACTGTAAACCACCCTGTTGTGCTCCGCTCAAACCGGGTAACTGAGGTCGTTCAGGCCAGGTGATGCACTTAGATATTCCGTCTTCTCCAGGTACTCAACGCCGTTCCATTCCAAGTAGGCGAGAGTTTTCCCAACGCCCTTCTATTCCGTGTGAAGGCACTCAATCCTGTAGCAGTACAAAGTTTCCAAGAAGGTACGGGCGACGACATGTGGAAGATATTCTTCTTGAGTTGGTCGATGTAATCGTCAGCGTTCACTTCCAGTCCGGGGTCCACGAAGAAAATATCGGTCTTCACATTCCAGGAACTTCCGGTCCATACCATCAACCCGCGCCTTGGCGACTGCGGTGAAGATGATGTCCTAGACCGTAGCGACGTTGTCGGAGCTGCTCGATGATGGAGGTCTTCCAGATCGAGAGTACTGGTCTCCAGGTAGCTATCCATGGGTGACTCCACACTAGAAGTTTCGCAGCTGTTTGGAGGTGACATGAATTCCAAAGGTCTTCTCCAGTCAGGCTGCGACTGGAGATGACTTCATATTTTGGTGTACATGAAGGTGATGGGCGAGAGCCAGCTCCTGCTTATAGAGGAACATCTTGGGTATCTTCCGCCCTGGTACTCGTATCCACGTCTCTGTCTGGGCTGCGAAAACTTTGCTGATATGTGACTCGGTCGAAGTGACTTTTTTTGCCCCCCCCCCTGTATATCCCGCTGCGTGCCCTAACTCTGTGAACTCGTTACACACTCTCGTATGTTACCGAACAAATTGATGATGCTGATAGACTGTTTCCATTGAAGAAGCCGAACGAGCAAAATTTATTTCGTCTGTGAAATCGAATCTAATCTTCATGTTCATCAGCTGGAATTACGAAGCAGAAGGCATCTTCGATTTCAATTTCCTCCTGATTATTGAGATCAGCCACCCATTTGCCTCTATCGTTGCATCGAATAATCTGAAACGAAAGCAATATTAAAGGAAGTGGTGGCGATGTAGTAGCGTAGGTAGAGGCGGGCGATTTTCGCCGGTGTCCTGGTGGAAGGGCTGCAAGAGGGCAAGTATCTACGCCTGACTCAGTCCTTCCACCAATGGTGTTGGCGAGAACCGCCCGCCCCCAGCAACCGTGTCCACTGCCGTTAAGCCTTAATTTGATGAGGGTCTTCGGACTTCAAGTGAATTTCAGCGCTACCTTACTAGCAACAGCTCTGCCAATGCTGATCACCACTCCGTTATCGTTCGCTGCCAACGCCGCCTGAGAAAAATTTGGAATGAAACTCTGTTTTCGAAGCTTGAATTTTTTTGTAAAGAACGTACGTAATCGTCAGAAGATGATGTCTTGCACTTGAGTTCTTTGTGCCAACCGTCTAGTAAGTGGAAACCTCTCATGTTTACTTCATAGGGTTTAAAGCACTGAAAACAGTTTTTCACCACGGCACATCATTGGTTGGGGATTTCAGTCCGTACGACCACTCCCCCCTCCGGCCCTTGTCCCTCTTCATCGAATCGAGCCGTCGAGCAGGGGTGGGAGTATATACTACGCATGAAACAGGAAAATCACGAAAAGTCAACCACCACTCCCAACCACTCCTAGAAGGCCAAAAAGTAAATACGACCCCCCTCCCAACAGTGAGCAAGTACGACCCCCCCCCTTTACAATGTTCGTGAAGCGAAAAAATCAACTATCAAAATAAATTTTCCTCAGCCCAAATACGACCCCACCTCTCCTGGCGGCCAAATACGACCCACCCTTTGTTGGGGATCTCGCATTTATCACTTGAAAACTTTCT